GAGTTTGACACAGCAGATATAGACTGTATATTGTATAATGTACAGTGTATTTTTAAAAAATGCCTGAAATTTGCTTCATAATGACACTCAACACTCAAGGAAAGCTTCTTGAAATGCCTCTTCCTTGCCTTTCTGGAGAAAAAGAACTACTTTAGATATCCCAAAAAGAAAAAAAAAGTCAGTTGCAAATCTGGCATGAATAATCTTCCTGATGTCATAAATAGAATTCTTCTAGCCCCATTCTCAAAGTATCCGTAAAGATTGATGGGTTATTAAGCTCCACGTGCTATAGAAGCAGGCTGTTTTTGGCCAATTTTCAAACTGGCTACAGTATTAAGGCTGCCTTGAGCACCTTGCTGGATAATCTTTATTTAAGGACTGATGAAGTGAATGTGATTCACCTGGTTGTTCTTGATCTCTTTGTGTATTACCAGCCATGTGCAGTGTTCTGCTAGCAATTCAATCCCTAATGCTAGCCAGATTTTAAAGGACTGTTTAAAGTCAATCCAGGCCTTGCCAGACCTGCAATTGTAAGTTGGCATGGTAACGTGACATTGTGCCTTAGAACCATGTTGCTTAGCAATTGAGCCCCCAGTTCCAATTACCATCAGCAAATGAGGATGACCTGTACTTGAACATATTATATTCATTATTTTTTTTTATTATATAAAATAATTCCCCATATCAGCAAACATTTGTTACATAATCTGAATTATATATGAAATATATGGTGTTTTTTCCCCTCAGCCTCAGAAACAAACAGAATAACTATTATGAACTGTATAGGCAGGTAGATGATCCCTTAAAAATACAAAAAGAACAAATCCATATCAGTCCTCAATGAAAAGAAGATAGGAGAGAAGGAGAATGGGAATGGAAAAAAATCCTACATCATAAATTTGGTCTAGTTATACTAAGATAAGATTGTCAACATACTTGGGATCCTCATTCAGTATAGAATTTTTTACACTGATTTAAGGCTCAACTATGGTAACTTTCCATGTTTGTTAATGCCATATACAATTTTTGTATTATATTTTGTATGTAGTTACGTATTTAGGCTGGCTGAGAGCGTCATATGAGAATGACATGTTTCAGTCAGCTTGATTTTTTTTCAATTATTAATATAATTATGCTCATATTTACGAAAATGTATGCATTTTTAGGCCATTCATGGGACAAATTGTAAAATTGTTCCAAAAATCATTTAATCCTAATTTAACTGATAAGCTTCTTTATTTCTGGACCAATTGTGGTGTGACTTTTCCAAAGAGAATATGTATGACAATGTACATATATTTCATGCTTCAAGAAAGACATGTTGAGGTTCTTCTAAGCGGTTTCCTTTATTGCTCCTTATTTATGGACGCAAATCTTTCCAAACTAAAACAGACTACTTGCACCATTAAACATATACTTCAATATCTAACAGGGAAAAACTGTGTTAGCTCTCTTTTTCCACACACAAGGTATCTTAGCTTTGCTATCTTTTGCTTGTCTGGAATGCACTCCCTCTCTCCTGGGAATCCAGACAACATTCCATCACAATATAGAATATTGTACCAAAATCCTGAATATTTTTCATGGAAAGTCTATGAACAAGATATTGTTATTTCCTGGCTTTGAGCATGGTTTTTTTTTTCCCTTGGGGAGTCAATAAATATCCATTACTTATTCTGACATAATTTTTAGCCACATTTTACTCTTCATAGCAAGGAGGAGAACATGTGTGCTGATGTGAATCTTATTTAAATGAAACAGAAATTGCTCAAAGGTTCTGAGATCACAGTGTTCCTTTTTTATTCAGCAACTTATGAAGCTTGAAATGAGGAACACCCTCACACAAACCTGGGGATTGATGCTGAAAAGGTTCTGTGATATATTAACCATGAAGAGTGACTTGGAAACAGTGTTGGGAAATAAGAGAGTACATTCAAAATAGTTCTAGAGGACTTATATATTGTAAGTTAAAAATAATCTTAGTAGAGATTGAAAGATATGTAGCTTGATTGTGATGTGCTTCCTTAAATAAAATCAAAATCAGAATCCAATATATTTAACATAAATTGGTGTCACATGATGTATTGTATGATCAGATTTTCTGGAAAGTCATAAACTACCCCAAAATGTTTGTTGTTTTTTATAGATATAACAACATTAAATCAATTTGCTCAATCTTGGATATTTTCACTATACTGTAGAAATAATTGTGATAAGTTCTATTGGGAATTCTTGAAGTTTAGCAGAGCTGAATTGAGCCTTAAGCAGAACTACATATCCATCAAATTTTTGAATTATAGGCCTTTAATTATACTCCAAGAGACAAAAACTATATTTATTTTTTAAAGCCTAAATAAAATACAACTAGGATACCTTTCCAGTCAGATATTGTAAGGCTTTTCTGTTTCTGTCACATTACAATTTGTTTACAATCTTTGATATTTCTCAGAGCTACAGTCCAAGTTTTCAAGGCTTGTGAAAAGTTCTAGGTCTAAGGTTATAAACTATGTTGACATTAAAACGGGACGAGTTCCATATCTTTGCCAGAATATCCAAATCCACCTTCTCACTAGCCTCTAGAAGGAATGGAGATATTTATAAGCCCCTAAACCCAACTGTACTAGATTGCTAATAAGTTCCAAATTTACAGCTATGGTAAGTGGCAGGGCCATAATCAAATTGCCTGAGATTCAGTGTGTTGAGTTTTCTGTACTCTATATGAACAAAAAGACCAACTTTCTATGTTGGGAGATGAACAATTTCCTTCCTTAGGTGTTGACACTTTACATTAAGGTATAATAAGGTTTGACTTGGAATGCTGTGCAATAAACTTGTCGTTTGTGTGCTAAAAATTATTATTGTATATCTATAATTGTTAGGAACTTGTTGAGGAGGAGCGTGTGGATATAGACTTTCTGTCTATAAGGTCATAAAGTCACACTGGGGTTGAAAGAAATCCTAATGAAAAAAAAACACTTGAAAATAAAAAGGTTGAATCACTGGGGAATCTGAATTGGGTAGGCAGATATAAAACACAACATTTTAAATGTCCCATATTGACTTTTCAGATTAGCTGATGCAGTTTGTCAGAATGTCAGAGTGAAACTATTGCTTTAAGTGGTTGTTGTGTATATTGTTTGGCTCTGGATACTAATTATAGTCATAATTAATTATAAAAAGGTGAATAAATACTTCCTAAACTTTGCTTGTTAAATATGATTTTCTCACATTTTACCTGTGTGATACATTTAAATTAAATGTTAAATCTATCTTCCAAAATACATTACTGATTATTTCCAGTTTCTTAAGTTGTCATAATTTCTATCTATTGATGCTGAAAACAATTGCTAAAGAGAAAGAAAATGTTCTGTAGAAATATAAAGAAAAATGTTAATGCATACTAGATTTCTCATATGCTAGATAGAGCAGTAGAGGTTTATATTTCATGTCTTTCCAAAACAATAGACTTGCCAGGGTAGACATTCTAAAGACTTGAATGTTAAAACATGTAATAATGACTTCAGTTTTAGTGGTTTATGGAGGAAATAGCACTAGATGCCAGAAATTAGTCATTTACAAGAGCTTTGTTCTCTATATCTGTGTCCAACTATATGTATGCAAAAATACAGTACCTCTCATCATATATAATTTATGTAATGCTGTTGTTTCAATAGAAATTGATTTTTGACAATGTTTCAGGTGTCAAGGTTCAACTTTCAGCTAAAATTCATTGTACTGTCTCAAGAAATTACAGTAAAGATTTCTCATTTGAAGGTGTTAAATCCATTTATAACCTTGCTATTCTCCTCCTGTGAACCCACACAAATCTGCATCATCTTATCACATTCTTAAATGTACTACAGCCTTAAAGAAAATAAATCAACCATTTCCCACGAGTATTTGTAATTTAGTGCCATTGTTTGTTGTGCATAATCCATCCCTGATTTTTAAAGTCATTGTGTGCACTATGTGACACTCTATGACCACTTAAAGTACAAAAGTCCATCAATCCAATCCTGGTGGTGGTTTTAATTCCATAGAATAACACCTGGCTGCTTAGGTCCTAAGTCAATCCCAAATAGGATAAAATCCTGTATCATATATCTCGTAGTATATACCACATATAAAAATGGAGAAATCCCCACTCTTTTCTTCAATATAGGATGCGTAAGTCAGGTAAAAACTCTGAACATGAGGTATCTTTCTACTTTGGGAGCTTAAGGGAAGGTGAATTATATCTACCATTCTGGAAGATTCTTGTGAAAAGTTCGTGAAGAAGCACTAGTATTGGATTAGTACCTCCAACAATAATACTTTTTTTTTATTTTGATACATTTTCTTTGATTTTATTGCTATTGCTCAATTTTTCTTGGAAATTACCACAGGGGGGCTTTGGTTATAAACATAATAATCAATAAATAAGACTGCGGAAGTCCAATTGAACACTAAATGACAGCAAGGTTTTAGATATTTGCAGCTCTGATCGGGTAACCCAAGTGTAAATATAATGAAATGTCATGAATCCATCAACACCATTCAATTTGTCTCCTGTGTGAAATATAGATCTATGCTTATTCTTAATTGAGGAATGTTGTGGCTCAGTGGTTAAGATGCTGAGTCGTAGACTATTGAAGGTCAACAGCTTAGCAGTTTGAGATCTGAGTGCTGTAAGACAGAGTTAGCTGCTGTCATTTGTCCCAACTCCTGACAACCTAGCAGTTCAAAAACATGAAATGCAAGTAGATTAATAGGTACCACATATAAACATGCAGGAAAGTAACAATGTTCTGTTTCACCATACACTCAGTGCTGTAGCATGATGTCAGGCTGCCCACATGATTGGACCACATGATCACCACTAGCAGAGAAAAACCCAAATAGACAGCTTACTCTTAATAGATAGTGCATTGAGCTTTTCATGATTCCCTTTGTCTTTCTAAAAAGTTGTAATTAAAGTACAGCTTACCAAATGTGATTGCTCATTCTTTTTTCTATTACAGTGAGTCAAGGAGGAGATGCCGTTGCCTCAGATATGTGTCCTGACCCAGGGATTCCTGAAAATGGGAAGCGAGCAGGCTTAGACTTTAGGTATTTCATACGGATTTATGTTTGCAGATATTTTTATTTAGCTGTATGTGAGAAAAGCATACCAAAAAGCTTATATTCTCATTAAAAGCTATCTGTTTGCATTAACATTATCTATATCTTTTCTGTGACAATGAAATAGTCAGGTTGATAATTACATCTCTCCATGGATAGCCTTTGCAATGAAAAGTGAATTGCACTTCATTACTTTGCAATTAAAAGTGATTTTAAGCATGCCTTGGAACATGAATAGGATTTGTATACTAAAAATAGTAGCAGATTTGCTACCAATATTGTTAATATTTAATAAGCCTAAATATAAATCTTGATTATACTCAGAATTACTAGGAGCATTCAAACTGACAATTATACAGCATTTTGTATAATAGTTCAAGATAAGCTGTGGTGGCACAGTGGTTAGAATGCAGTTTTGCAGGTTGACTCTGCCTAAGCCTGGAGTTTGATCCTGACCAACTCAAGGTTGACTCTATCTTCCATCCTTCCAAGGTTGGTAAAATGAGGACCCAAATAGTTGAGGTAATATGCTAACCTTTGTAAACTGATCAGAGAATGCTGTAAAGCACTGTGAACTGGTATATAAATCTAAGTGCAGTTGCTATTGCTAAACCTAGACATTTTCAGCTGCCACCACAAAAGGCAACTTAGTGTCAATGCTTTGTACACTATTGTACTCTCTCCTATTTCTCATTTTCACTCTATATTCAGGCATTGTAAATTTCTTATCCTTAACATTTCCTTTTTCTTGAAATATAAACACTGAAAAGAGTTCTTAAATGGAATTTTCTGCTTTGGAGTGGAAGGAAGTAAAAAAAAAACCAACCCAGAAAAGCATGCAAAATGTATTCTAAACTGTGCTGTTTTCTGTAAATTTGAGATGGTGCAATTATTTACATTTCCTGCTTGCTCTGTGCCAATTTATTTTGCTTCAGTCACAATGGCTCTGAAGTACTTTTGACATAGATGCAGTGTTCCTTAATCATCCTGCTAAGCTGGAAAAGAGAACAGGCTTTTTATCAAACTTCAGTTCTCTTCAAGAAGCTGGAAATCACTCCTCTATCAGCAGGAGGGCAGAAAAAAGTAATTTAGAAAGACCAAAGAATTCTATCAACCAGAAAAGAGGGCAGTTTCACAGACAGGGAAGTTACTCACCTCTTCAGTTATTTCCTCTTTTGTGGCATTTATTTCGTATTGGACTACAGGGCGAAGGGAAATAATAAAACTGGAATCCTATTAACAATGACCAAAGTAGTGATATAGCATGTCAGAACAAGCTAGTGTCTAAAATTGGAGAGGCCTTAATGGAACAGCCCATCATACATGGGCTGTCACAGGCAAGGACAGATGAATCTGATTCTTCCCATTTTTCCAAATATTTTCCCCTTGCTCAAATGCCTTTTGTATACTGATTTGGATCAGAGCTGCATTGCAAAATTCAGAGCCCTGAGAACACTAAAGGATAATTACATTTGGAGGAAGCCCCCACAAATTCCTTCCTGTCCTTAATTAAGTGTTCTATTTCCAAGAAAGAAGACCATTTTTACTTAAGTTAATGGACATAAATTAAATAATGAAGAGTTTGCATGCATGAACATAAAACAGCGTAGGCATGTGCACATGTAAAAACACTCAGATATAACATAAAGGGAAAGTACAAGCACAGATATAACACATTATTTGTTACACAAAAGAAAAATTAGGTTTTCCCTATAGCCTATAGTATCTTTCCCCTATCTTATTATCCAAATTATAACTAAATTAACCTGAAGACATCGTTCAGTCTTAGAGATCCCAGGTTTATCATAGTAGAGTATTTTTGTAAATGGGAGAGCAAAGTTAAATAATAATGCTCAACTGAAATAATGCTCAGCTGAACAACTGATTCCTTATATATGTGGTACTATGTATTAAATAAACCTATGTGGCCACTAACAGTCAAATCCAACTTTAGGACACATTAGCATAATCATTATCATCATGTATTCAATGAGCACAGGATGCAAAGTTACTTTTTAAATCCCAGTGTAGGAATTCACACATATTTCAATTGTTCTATTATGAATTCAAAACATACATGTATGTAATATTGTCTGTTTTCAACATCCCCCAGCGTTCTTATTTTTCTTGCTTTATAGCTAGTTTGCAGGAAAATAAGAGAATATAATGCTATCCTTTATGCCTAAATATTAATGTGAAACAGAAGTTTGTATACTATACAACTGAATATTAAAGGAGTCTGATGTTTTGTGTGAAAATTATTTATGTATGAATAGTATATTCAGTTACTGGAAACTAAACCAATTGAATACAAATGGATTGCTTCCTTAACAAGCAGTCATAAGAATGTGGTTGTTTAAAAACCATAATCTTTTGAAGCATTACAGAGCAGGCAAAGATAATGGTAAAGAAATAGCTCTTGGCTCTCATTATCCATTAAATAAAACAGATTTGTTCATGCAGTCAACTTTGTTGTCAGTATTGTCATAATTTTAGTTGAAAAGAATGGCCATCTCATTACATTATACTCTGTTTACATCACTTAATTGCAACCACAGGCTTGCAATTAACTAAGTTATAGCTTTGGTACTTAGAAATACTGAAATTATCAATATAGTTTTGTTCTTTGAAGCAAGAATCTCCAGTTCACAGTATTTACTTTTTAAAGTAAATAACTTTAAGAATTCAGATGCATAAATGGAAAAAAATCTAGGAAGTATTTAGCTAACTAACTAGGAAACAAATTAATTAAAATATTAGTTTACTTTGATCAAATATACTTAAATGCATTGTTTCAAATGTAAGATAAAACATGTCTCATTTGATAAAACAGTGCTAAGTGTTTGAGGCCTAAATGTGCAAAATTCTAACCTTTTCTATTTTACCATTTTATTTTATTCTTTTCTTTATTAATCAAAATTATAAGGTTTCTCAACTATCCAATGAAACTCTGGGCAATAAAAATGCTGTATAAAACATTAGTAATAAAATCTGCAAAAACAATAAAGACTTAGATTCAGCCCTCCTCACTGAAAACACCAAACATCTATGATATTCACCCATCATCTAAAGCTCCCCAACTAAAAACTCACCCTCAGTGCATAGGAGGAAAGCCAGATCTTTGTGTTTTTCCAAAAGACCATAGGTTGGAATTGTCTGAACCTCTGGATGGAGCCTATTTCATAGGGCAAGCACCATGATACACTTGCTTGGGCCCACTATATGCCATTGCCTCAGCAAGAGAACCTGGAGCATGCTCACTTTGCTAGAACTAATAGGGAGGGAGAGGTGGTCTTCAAAGATTACAACCAATACCTCTACTTGTACCTGAAAGCACACTGGAAGCTACAACAGTGCATATAGTAGTGGTATTGTGTATCCAATACTACACATGCTGCTGCATTCTGGACCAGCTGAAGCTTCTGAATGAGTTTCAAAGGCATGCCCATATAGACTGCATTCCAATAGTCCACAGGATATAGTATATATATCCCATAAATATGTACAAACATGTAGCAAAACATATGAGTAATCAATGAAGCTCCTGTGATAATCTGTTGGGCATCCCTAAAGCATTTTATATCACAATATTCATTGACAAGAGTAGAGTCCTTAGGAGCAAGAAAGAATACAAAACAGTGATAGACATAGGACAGTGTTGAAACCGTATCCTTAAGTCAGTGACCCAGTACCAAGCGAACTTATCAGTAATCTGTTTCAGTAATGAGATCAGTGAATGGTGTTTTCCTTATTCTTTTAATGCAGACCAAATTAAGGAAAATGATAGTTGCATCTCACTGTCTGAATTTTTTTTTCCTACAAATTGTCACTTTCTGGCAGGAAAAAAAAATCAACCTTTTACTTCTAGTATGGTGTGGCAGGGATGGGTGAATATATGTGGTGCTTAGTCATCTGTCAAGCTGCCTAACAAGAGACTAACACCTAAGTTCTTTACACCTGTTATTGATCAATTATGTGATTTCTGAATAAGGATCTAATGTGATACGAAGTAGGGATAAAGGATTTGATGATAAGAGCTCCATCCTTCATCCTGCAGCAAGAAATTACACTACTGGCTGGCAATGGAGTAGGCAAAGTTATGGAGGCAAAATGATGCCTTTCCCAACCCAGTAAAAATGGGGCTGCCCTTAAAAAACATCCAGAAGCTCCAGTTGGTGTAAAATGCAGTGGCCTGCATGGTTTTGTGCAGACCTCATTTGCACATGTATCACATCTCCTGCAAGAACTGCATTGGTTGCCACTTTGCTTCTGGGTGCAATTCAAGGTGCTGGTTGTCACCTTTAAAGCCCTTCACGATTGGGACCAGGTTATCTGAGGGACCATCTCTTGCTAGTCACATATACCCGACCCACTAGAGCAGGGAGACAGGGAATGCTGCGGTCCTGTCCCCTACAACTGGCGGGGCCCAGAAGATGGCCCTTCTTCATGATGGCTACCTCTCTCTGGAACATCATCCCCTCAGAGATTAGACTGGCCCTCACTCTAACCCTCTTTTGGAAGACCCTGAAGACATGGTTCTGCCATTAAATAGCTAGTATGAATGTGTGCTGTCACCAGGGTAGAATATGACACCCCTGCTGTAGAATATTATGAAAGCAAATTCTCTTTCCTTCTGAGTTCATGTAAGGCACATTTTCCACATGTTGATTCCATGTGGATTATAGAGCAAGCCGCTACAGTGATCTTTGGGAAAGGATTATAGAATGGATATGCAATATACTGTAACACTGACGCAAAAACTGTATCCCCAGCAGCTTGCTCTATAATAAAACCTAGCAACCCTATGACATTCCTAATCCTTATTTTTATTGTTCAAGAAATTCCAGAATTGCTATGCAGGAGATAGCCATACTATGGTTCTTGCTTAAATGAATGTTAAATAGTATTCTGAGGTTTTGGCATTGGTGAAGAAGAAGCCCTGCAGTGGCATTTAAGAGACCAACTTCTGACATTTGGTTACGAAAGTAGAAGATGGAAATTATACACACAGAACCACAAATGATCAACAGAAAGCATCAATGTACTGTATCTCTATACTGTGGTAAGAAGCAGTGACTTGTTATCAAAATACTGTTCATCCTAAGAAGATGAAATCTGTCAATGCTTCAAGTGGCTTGTACATATTTGTTCAGTCTCTGAATATCTGAGTAGGGAATATAATCTATGCTGTGATTCAATCTAATTTAGCAAAGCAAATACATTAGTGGTAAGGGGAATCTTTTGAAAATGTTACATCTTTTTGCAAAAATTTGCCTTAAAGCTACTCTATGGCTTTTGATTTAGACAGAAATATCCATTAAAAAAGTCAAAACAAAAACACAAAGATTTTCAGTGTCCCTTTAATGATGAAAATTACATTAAAACATATTCTTTGAGTTTGTCCTTCATTACATATATCTGGATAACCTTTATACCAAGGGTCTGAAGAAAGTTATTTCTGTAATGAAATTGATTGGAAAAAGAGAGAGTTCATTTAAAAACTTACATGTCCACTACTGGCTTAACACTGATGGTTTCCCCCACAAAACATTTCATAGTTTAAACTTTGGTAATGACTGAGACTTTGATTATTTCAAGTCTTTCTCTTTTGTGATTTGAGCAATTTATGTTTTATAGTTAAAAAGAAGGTGTAAGCAACCCTTCTTTTTCTTTGTTTCCTCCTTCTTACAAAGAAAGCTACCTAGAAACTAGTGCTTTAAGTATAGTAAAGCAATTTAAATTCTGTGGTGCCATGACAATTAAACTACTGCTCAATTTTTTTGTCTTATATATCTTTATTCATATTTTGCATTTTTGTTCAAATGATATCAGCCATTCACTATACATTAGACTTTGAATCTGCCAAAGTTTTTTTTTTCTTTTCTCTGCAGTTAGAAAAAAACAATATTTGTTTTGAACAAATATTTTTTAACTGTCAATTTTTGGATCCATGGTTTGCCCCTTTGAACAAAACCAAGTTTGCTTATGACTTCTAATCTACAAAGGCATCTACTAACTTCACACAGTACTTTAAAGAGTAAATATTTATTGGTTCTCCTGAACTATTAAATTGCATAGTATAGTATGAAAACAATCTTTACACTTGCCAGTTTAGAATTTTAAAAAGACCCATTTTATATTTTTCATTACTGGTCATCATGGGAGAGTCATTCATAAATTTTAATTTTAGATTTCCTTTAAGCTCTGACAGGACTCCTCAGATACTATCATTCGCCTGGCAATTGTAATTCTGGCATTTAAAAGTGCTGATAACTGATGCCTTCACCAAGCATTTAGTCCTATTTCTTTATTTATCTTCTAATTTATAAATAATAATAAATAACTTTGAGCTCATTGTTAAAAGTATTGGAGGTCACCTACTGTTTTATAATTATTGTGTTTAAGGAAATAAAAGAATATACTTTTTAGAAATGTAGGTTATTGTGACCTGTGGAGATAGATCCTAGTTGATCTTCCACTCTAAGTTCAAAAATTATTTTATCAATAAGGTCTCTGCTAAATATATTTTCATGGATAACTAATTTGTGCAGGTGGGTTACAATTAATTAGGAATATTTTTCTTCTTTATATGGAACATATGAAAAAAAAATGCTTTCTCTGACATCCTGCAGACATGTTTGGGCGTTTGGGCTCACCTTAAAAGCATCTTATTCAACTCACATATAAATGACAAAGCATTTGAATTTATCTGAAATGTGTGTGTTTGTGTGCCTTGGAGTCAGTTTTGATTCTCGGTGATTGAATGGCCAATCCCCTGCAGGATTTTTTTTGCCAAGTTCATTGGAGTGGCTTGCCTTGACTCCTTCCTAGTGCTGACAAAAAAAAAAAAAAGACTGATCCAAGGTCCAGCAATCTATAATACATATTTAAAATGTGCTTATGCTTGAGAGATTTGTTTGGTGTGAAGATATTTTTGTATTAATAATAGTACAAATATAATATAATAACTAATTATTGCATCCCTAACCTTTAGATACTGTTGATGCTCAGAAAAAGTCAGAAACTGGCTGAGGAATAGATGGTCTGTTATTACAGTGGTGAAGTGGATATGGAAAAGTTACCAAACGTTTTTGTTGTGTCTCTAATTGAGATCTCTTTGCCTCTGAAGCAATTTTGCATTGTTCCCCTGTGTTTTTAACTGGGATTGAATGTTTCTAGTGGTCATCTGATATTGTATAGTGATAGACTATTAATTGTATACTTTACCTTTGTATTTTTTTTTGTATTTTAAGTCTTATTATAAAAATATAGTTTTCAGGTAGTCCTTGATTTATGACCACAAAATTTCTGTTGCTGTGAGGCATGCATTAAATGACTTTTGCCTCATTTTATGACTTTTTTGTCACAGTTGTTAAATGAATCACTGCAGTTGTTAAGTTAGCAACATGGTTGTAAAGTGAATCTGCTTGAAGCTTCCCCATTTGCTTGTCAGAAGATCACAAAAGATGATCACATGATTCCTGGACAATGCAAATTTCATAAATATAAACCAGTTACCAAGTGTATGAATTTTAATCATCATTGGGATATGCTGAAATGGTCATAAGTGTAAAAAACAGTCATAAGTCACTTTTTCTTGTTATAACTTTAAACAGTCACTAAATGAATGGTCGTAAGTCAAGAATTACCTATCTTCTGCCCAGATTCTACACATTGGGGCAAGTTTCAAAAACTGTGAGATGAATAAATTGATTCAATCAGAACTTCCAATGAATACTAAAGTTCTGAGAATCACTTGTGAACTGATTAATATCTATAAACTGATTTGAAGAATGAGTCACATTTGATAAAAATATGTCCCTAGAAGCACAGACATCCACTGTACTTTTGAATTGATTTGAAGTGACTTTATCTGGTGACTTGATCTAAAGAATTGTGTGAATTTGATTAAACAAATTTAAAACTTCTTAGGGCAATAATAAATATCAGACTGACTACAGTGTTCATGCTGTGAGGATGTTTCCTTCAGAACAGTTTCCACCTGGAAATGGAAAAAAAAAGTTGGTTGAAGCATAAGGCATGTTTATTTATTTAGGTTTTGGGAAAACAAGGAGAAGTTTATCTATCAAAATTTTGCCTGCCAAAATTGCTTGGTCTATTTAACAATTTCAAATCTGCAGTCATCTTTCAGAGACAAGACATGGGCAATGCAACCTATACTCACAATTTATTTTCATACTTAGTATTTTTCTCCATTGACAATCGGGCCATTCTATCCCTTTCTCAGGTGAACAGCCCGACCTGGCCCAGGCACACCAACATATGTCTCTCTCTCTTAGAGGGAGATATACACTTTAATTAAAAATAATGGCTGTTAAGATAAAAATCAAATTAAACAACACAATAATCTAAAACATTAACACTTATGGTAAGCAATATGTCTAAAAATGTTCCAAAGAGTATCTGTTTTGGCCAAATAGCCCCTCACATATCTTGTTACCTCATAAACATGTCCTCTGCAGGCCTAGTCAGAGTCCTATGGAGTCTCCCTCTTGTGGCAGCCGTGATACAGTCTCTGGAGCAAGATAACGTCAGTCATCACTCTTCCTTGGGGTGGGGATCTCTCTCTCTCTCTTTGAAGGAGTCCAGCCTTTTTTCCTGGTAGCTCTTCCTCCTGGGGATTACATTTCCCAGAAATCTCCTCCAGGGACTCTCCTCCTGTCTCAATTCCAGGGGCAAAGCCCCAACCGGCCAGCCAATTAAGGAATGCTGCTAACAGGGCAGTCTTAATTAGGCTCTGTATCTTGAATTTAGGAAGTTCTCATCTATCTATATCAGAATGTGATGTCATGAAAACAGGCCTACTGTCAGGAAAATCTTACTGTTTCCTCCCCCCCCACCCCTTAATTTGTAATTTTATTTTCTTTCTACATATCTTTAAGCCATGAGAAATTCTTCTGGTTTATACTTTTAGCAACTTTCCTACCACACATCCATGTATAAGAAAACTGGTTGCATGTTTACTTTGATGATAGAAAAAAAAAAGATTGCTATTTCAAGAACAATTTTTGATTTGCATAGAATAACTTCAGTTTTATAATGACATAAACCTGAAATCTGTTTGTATCTTTTTTTTTCTGCTTTTCCTAGAGTTGGTGCTAATGTGCATTTTACTTGTGATGATAATTATGTGCTCCAAGGAACAAAAAGCATTACTTGTCAAAAGGTGACAGATACCTTAGCTGCTTGGAGTGACCATAGGCCAATTTGCCGTGGTAGGTATTGTTCTACCTTCATGAATTAATTATATACCTGATAGGGCCAATGGCCCCCATTTTTATTCATAATGCACATTGCTCTTGCCAAAACTCAGGAAATCTTTGGGGGTCTGATAGTGAGAACCATCCCAAACTTTTTTTAAAAAAAATGAAAAAAAGTACTGAAGTCTGTATTGAATAAAGTCTGATCCTTTGTGTTAGATTATGCTAAACCTCTAAAGACTAACTCCCCTGCCTTTGAATCTTAAGCTTTTAAAAATTAATTACATCCTTTTGTCTGGCACCTTTTGCATGATATATAAATATTCAATTAACATGCATTGCCCTATATTTATTTTCTATGTAGTGAATTAATTATCAGTTAATTAATTATTAAAAGATCTTTGCAGCTCCACAGGTACTGTGTGGTAATTACAAGCTATTTTAGCAATTAAGGTAATTTAATTCGAAGGTACTATTCATATTAACAAACATCTTTGTACATAGACATACAATATTTATCTTGATTTTCTTTTAGGCTGTACTTAAAGGAAAAAGAATCAACTATATATATTATTATATGTACATGTAACAGCTGAAAGTCCTCTAATGTTTAATTTAATTACTTGAAATTTTGCTTGTTCATGCAGAAAGATATTGAAAGGTTAGAATATTGATTCTAATCTCAAATTACATGTATTCTCATATTTGACATTTGCCATAAATTGTTCCTGAGTACTTAAATCACATTATTAATTACCAAAATATAAACAATATTACTATCTTGCTATCTCTAAAATAGTTGTCATGAGTTTGTATACTTTAAATATGATACTATTGGCATATTAATAAACTTCAAGAAAGGTATGAAAACACATGTTGTAATTTTTTTTTTCTGGATAAACAGATGTGGTCTCTAAATCCAGTATGAGTGGCAGAAGGAATAAATCATTAGCCATGGATATAGTTATATACACTATACAATTCTCTCTCTATCCCTCTCTCCCCCTCTCCCTATCCCTCCCTCCCCTCTCTCTCTCTCTCTCACACACACAATGACTATCGTTGATAAGGAACATATATTTAATTCTATTTTGATCATTAAATAATTAATTTACATGATAATTTTGTATCATGTAAATACTATTCATCATACTGTTACAACAAATTATTTTATTTTCAGTTCAAAAAAAGATCTGATTTTAATGATATGAATACAGTTCCATTTATATTACTGTGTCTACTCACATTTTAATCCCTCAAATTTTCACTACCTATATTATGATTTCTTCATGTTTAAATGGATTCCAATTAGATGAACCACTCAATTATGAGAATATTTGTAGTAGAACATTTATAAAAGTAATATCTTCAGTACATTTCTTGATAGAATTCAGCCTGGCTCTATAGTAACTTCACTGCATAAATAAACAGTTCCTCAATTTATTTTTGATGCTTGGGGTCTTGTGAATAAATTAACATTGACAAAAACTTTTGAAATGCACTGTACATTGCTTATTTTAATCTGTTTCCATTTCTAAGTGAGAATTGTAATGAAGTAGTGATGAACTTTCATATTTAATAAGTTTGGTTTATTTTCTATGGCTTTTTCTATTCTGAAGGAATACTTGTTGTAGCACAATTTTCTTTGGTTCTGATATATTATGGCTGTTACCTTCAGAGGAAAGTAAGCTTTGTGATGTCCCTCTCACAGTCTACAGACAACTGAACTGGATTGGCTGGGCTTTTGTATTTGAAGTTGGCAAGCTGATCTCTGATTGGTCCTTATCTGAGGAATCCAAAAAGGATGGTTCCTGAGCAGAACAAGAGAAAAATAGACCATGACTATTTAGCCTTGTAGCTCATCACTGCTTCATTGTTGCCAGCCATTAAAGTCTATACTAGAAAATTGTAATTTTTTAGAATTGTTTCATTACATATTACCTTAACACAATGTGGCATAATTGCATATAAAGTGTAGCATAATTGCAAAGCATAAAATGGAGCATAATTGTAAGAAGTGTAGTTGTGATTGGCCACATTCAGTAAAACAAAGACATAAGCACTGTTCTTTCTTTATGAGAATAAAGCTCTTTTATTCATTCTTTATAAACTATTATCCATAATTCTAGTGCAACTGGGAGTTCCATAGCACATTTATAAATTTTAAAGAAATGTAATAGCTATTCCCACATCAGGTTATTTTCTCTTTAAATAAATGAGCACCTCTAAAATATCTTCTATTTGATGCTTTCCATATTTTTAGCTAGAACGTGTGGTTCTAACCTCCGTGGTCCAAGTGGTATTATCACATCACCCAATTATCCTGTTCAATATGAAGACAATGCACATTGTGTATGGGTTATAACAACCCTTGATCCAGAAAAGGTAAGTTTCCCATTTTATGGGTTTCTAAACAGTTACAATGAATGTACTGATATTTGCATAAATAAAGCATTTTTCTTTGTTTTGATTTTTGATAACATTTAAAATATACAAAATATAGATCAAAAAGTATTTGTATGTAATTTTGTTTCATTTCCTTAATATGAATGTGAATTTATGATTTAGTGATTACTTAATACAATGTATACTTTTGATGTTAACAATGAAGTCATTTTAGAACTGCAGTAACTTTTCTGTTTGTAGATTCTTTCACAAAAGCAACTGTGACCATTCAAAATTTTTAGTTTGTGATATAATCTTTCTGCATTGACAATTATGTTCTATTTACCATAGTGCAAAAATTGGTTTGTGATAAGACTGAGATGTCTTTTCTCTTTAAGCTTAGACTGATCAACTTGGTTTATTAAATTTCTGAATTAACAGCACATAAGAAGCCAGAAATTGCAGTGCTTGATCTAATTATTATAATTTCATAGTTCAAAAAGGAGCAGTGTTAAATTTAGAAGCAGAGATCTAGATGTTATGTTTGACTACATTTTTCATTCTCTATCTTCCCCTCATCTTGCAAGAAAGGAGAAGTAGAATGGATCTTCTCACAACTGGCCATCAACAGGCAAACATTTATTCTAATGGTCACTCTTTGAATTGCATTATATGAATGTATAAATTAACCAATTCAACAAAACTTCTTTTTGTCTCTATCATTAAACATTTGTTGCTTTTACCTGTAGCATTATTTTTTCTTCTTGTTTTAGTAGTATTAAGCTATTTAGGTTTGTTCTCTACTTGTTCAAAAGTACTCTGTTTTAATGCTCTGCTTATTTTGAAGGCTTTCTACCATGTGTTTCCTCTGGGTCCTACTAATGTATCTGCTGAACATAACCCTACTGAGTCTTAGAGGTATATAGCTTACAAATAGCTATTTTGCATTGGATTTTTTTTTTCCTAATGGTTTTAGCTAGGTTGTGCTGCAGGTGTTTTAATTTGCAGTTAATTCCTGAGGTATTTTAAATTTTGTTCCTTTGGGTTTCTCCCCCTTCTTAATTTTTTTCCATTCTGAGATCATTTCCACAACCCAACTTCATTAGCTATTACTTTGTATTTCCCAAAATTTGGGTTACAGTATTGCTTATTTCTCCTTTCTGTGGCTTTTTCTATTCAGCTCTAAGTGTTGTGAAGAAATGCTGGGTATAGCATAATTTTTGACATCCATTCTTGTATTGTCTTGACCACTTAGAGACTATAGGATATCTGTAGCTGCTCTAGGATATCATAATCGTTGATTATTAGATGGAATTAATTACACTGAGCCTATTTCAATCTTGGGTCCAATTTAGCTTGAAAACAGGAACATCCTAATGCATTATTTCCTTCAGTAGAGATACA